AAGCAGTGATTTCCAGCTGCAGACTCGTCGCTCCGCTGCAGCTCTCCTGCCCGACACCCTCTGACCTCTGACCTCTGAGCTCAGCACAGGACTCAGTTAACGCCACAGACATTCTGAAGCTTCGCTTTAATAAGGATCCATAAACTGTTCACAGCCTGAGAAAAAACATCTTCATCTTTGCTTCTAATGATTTTGTCAGCGTTTCGTTAAATTACACTCAGACCTGCTGGGTTTGTAGTTTGTAAATGACTGCCTCTCCATATTTGTAGTCCTGCAGAGCGACTACAAACACAGTGACAGGAGTTGAATCCTGCAGAGCTGCGACGCTCCTGAGGGCAAGCCCAGGTTTCATTCCTCATCTCAGAGAGAAACGCAGCCGCCTCGCGTCTCTGCTCCGACACAAACCCGCCGCATTAAACCTGCGTCCGCAGACGGGCCGCTAATCTGCTGGGACAACAAACAGCTGCTAATCACAGACCTTTGGAGCGCTGCGTGCATCCATCACAGCAAATGCTGCTCCACTCAGCCGCTGGGTCTCTCACACACACACACTGTGCCACACAGACCCACCTGCAGGGAACAAAACCCTGAATTAGATCCAGAATTTTCTGTAATTCTGCAAAAAATCTTTGAAATCTTCCACAAAGCAGACGTTGGTTCAGATTAAGGTGTGAACACACACAGCAGGGCACGTTGTTAAGAAGAAGAAGAAGAATCTCGTCTCGGAAAGCGCTATATAAATGCAATCATTATTATTATTATTAATACGGTTTCACGTGGTGATGGACACAAACGCTCACAGCGCCTCAGAAGCGTGTCCTCGTCCCCGTCTGTCTCTCTCACGTGTTTTAAATCAGGCTGCAGAAAATTCGTTTGATCATCGGGCGTCGGCGCCTGTTTGCTTCACGGACGCAGTTTCTCACAAACACCTGAAACTCTGACACGCAGCTTTAGTGTGTGTGCAATGTATTGTGGGCCATTGCTCCTCTGTCCCAAACGCGTTCAAAGACAGGAAGTGTTAAGCGTCCCGTCTGACACGACAACCCCGACCGCAGGAAGTGGCATCCTGCCTGCTCGCACTCAGCGGTTCCCCTCAGACACGCCCCTGCAGCAGGACGGCGAGGGACGCCAATCTGTGAGATTATTTCAGTTTCATCCTCTAACAGCTGATAACAGGAAGTGGAGCTTTTCACAATAAAGCATCACTGCCCAGACTCGGATTCAATCTGCTTTCAGCCTGAGACACGTCGCATTTACCAAACTCGTCGCGTGCGGATGCAGAGCATTATTTTGCAGAGCCGTGTAACTGAAACTGAGCTGTGATTAAAACGTGTGAAGGTCTTCATGTCCTCAGCAGCTCTGATGTCTTCACTCGTGTGAACAAATGACTCGTTTGAGGAAAATGGAGCTCACAGCTCAAACTGTGAAGAGCTTATTACACTGCAAGAACTCAAAAACTTACCAAGTATATTTGTTTTATTTCTAGCTGAAATTATCTCATTACACTTAAAATAAGACTAAACCAGCTACAAAGCATCAGTAAGATAAAGGAACTTGTTTCAAGACAGTGAATCTTGAAACTAGAGAAAAACTAGAGAATTTTCATTTGTTTCATTGGCAGATTTTTTCACTTAATACAAGATATTTCGCCTTGAAACAAGTGAAACTTCTCTAGTTTTTCTCTAGTTTCTGCAGAGTAACGCCGGGCGCTTACATAACGCACGGAGCGAGCCGACCGTCCGGATCCTCTGAGCAGCAGGAAGCTACAGACACGTCTGTTCTTTGGCCTTTATTATAGAAACAGAACATAATAAAGACGTCGCTCGGTGATCGCCTCAGTGTTGCTGAGCAGAAGCTGCACAGCATGAAACATCAAAGCTTTACTCATCAGGACACGTTCAGCTTTATTTTCTGTGTTTCGAAAATTACAAAATGACACGAAATAAAGTTTTTTACTCAATATTTGAATTCTGGTTGTTTTTATTTTAATGATTTTTCTGGATTTTTCTTAATCACAATTTTAAAACATTTGATGTCTTATTGCAGATTTTTATATTGTTACAATGTTTAAGTGCATTTGATATTTTTATGAAATTTTTGAATCCTTTTTATTTTCTAATCTGTGAAAAAGCAGAAATGCAGCAGAAAACAGCACACACACACACACACACACACACACACACACA